AGAAGGAAAAATATATTTCCAAAAATTTCAACCTAATTTGGGCCACAAAATCAAACAATCTCCATCTTGACATAAATTTCGGTGCAACGAAAGGAACTCCAAAATTTCTCCACCTGAAAAATTAAGTCCGACTGCATCAGAATAAAACATTCTGTTCATTCAATACCAAAACTCTCCACCTCACGAAAAACATCACATCTACCCAATGTTCACAAGTGACACTCGAACCCAACCCCGAGTTTCCAAAATTCCAACAAAGAATTCAATAAATACCAAATAAGGGCGAAGCATACCCTGTAGCAGAATCCATACCAAATGCTTGAACTGAAGGCCCCTTGCTAGAACGGTCACCTTCAAACACTCCGAAAGCATGATCACACACACATGAAACCCGATACCTATGTTCCATGAGTTCTACCTTAGCAAATGACTCAGAGCCCAACACGAAAGGTACTGTACCGAACTAGATCTTTTCCACGGTACTAAACCTATACAGATGTCTCTTCACTGGTTCTGCGCGTTCCTGCAGGATATACAGTTGAGAACTCTTCTGTCCTTCTAGCACAACACGATGATCCCTTTGGACCTTCAAGACTCTACCTCCACCGGAGAATGTGTACCTAGTAGAATCCAGGGTACTTAGCTAGATGATATTCTTCCTCAAGTCTGGAAAATGTCGAACTTGGCCAAGAACTCGAACTGTCCCATCCAATAATCTCAATTGACCCTACCGATTCTAACAACCCTACAAGATTGGTTGTTTCCCATGACAACTCCACCTTACTTCACCATTTCATATGTTTCAAACCAGGTCCTATTGAGACAAATATGGAACGAACACGCTAAATCTAGAATCTACTTCTCATTCGGCTTAGATTTAATGTTGATACGGTCATCACCACACCTTCGCCATCCGAAATCTCGACATTATTAGTCTCGTCCGAATGATCAAATTGCCTTCCATGATTTGCAGATAAATTACCTTTACCATGTAACTTGTCGCCTTGATGTGTCATTTTCTTCTACAGTAGAAGCAAACCTGATTGCTGAAGTTCACTCTCGACCTATCCCTCTGTCGATCACCGTACGAAACCAGAGCTTCCTCATCCTTAGCTCCAATGATATGCTTAATCTTCTCCTTTGAAAATAAAGCGTCATAAAAATCGTTAATGGTGAATGTGTCACGACTGTATAAGATCGTGTCCCTGAACGATGAATATGAAGTGTGCAGTAAGCACAATAGGATCAAGGCCAAATCCTCTTCATCATACTAACTTCTAACGTTTCCAAAGTATCGACGATTTCATTGAACACGGCCAGATAGTCCTCCAAAGAACTCCCTTTTGCCATGCGATGAGAATAAAATCTCTGCTTCTGATGCAACTTACTCATCAATATCTTCGTCATGCACAGTTGCTCCAATTTTAACTACAATACAGCAGCTGATTTCTCCTTAACCACGTCTTGAAGAATGTTGTTAGAAAGATGAAGATGAATCATAGACAGCGCCTTCCGATCCTTCCGTTGCTTCTTCTATGTTGTTCAAGTTGTTGGCATTTTATCAAAACCCAACAGAGTATCGTCCAAATCCATCTGCGCTAGAATTACTTTCATCTTTACTTGCCATAAAGAAAACCTTGTATTGCGATCCAAAAGTGGAATGTCACACTTCATGGTAGCCATCGAAACTAGAAATTTCAAATAAATTCAATAACCCGTAGCTCTGATACCACTTGTTGGGACCCTTTGAACTTACGTGTTGTGAAAAATTGAAAGAGATTAATAGAGCAATATGAAATATTGATCGCTCACCAAACAAGAACAAGATATGTAAAGAAAAGAAAAAATTGGCAGAGAAATCGATTT